ACCTATAAAAATCAGATGTTTGAAATGTTTATACACTATTTTAAAAACAAGCCAAATCATATACGTATATACTTATCTAAACAGTATCGTATAATGAATGCTCTGAGAATGCACATGTTAAAGCAAAAGGAAAGATATTTTTCAACAGACTCTGAGTCTCCCAAATACGGTGTCTGTGACTAACAGCTGAGAGGAAATGCAACTGAAACTGTCTGCTGGAAATCCATTAAAATCTAGACACAGAAAAATGCAAGGGTGACAGTATAGTTGAATATACAAGTTTGTGCAAGAATGTAGCCAAATTTTTGGCAATTCCCTCATGGCCTCAGATGCACTGACAATGGTCTATTTTAGTCCTAATGTTAGATTTAAAGAACATCACCTGAGTTGGAGGACCTGCCTGGTTTTTAAAACAAATAGGCTTAAAACTTGGCTTTATAAAAGCATGGTATTTCAAATAATACAAAAATTTGCACAAAATATTATGCTTCACAAAATCTGTCAAATGCAGCAAAAAAGAAAAAATAAAAGTACATTAGAAAAAATCAGCATGTTATTTTGCATTTCATTCTGTATTTTCCTTTAAACATATTGAACTTAGTTCTGCAAAGGTAGATTTTTAGGATCATATTCTGAAAAGGAACTTTTTAAAGAATTCATATTTTAAAGCATATGCTCTTAATTCACTACTTTACAGATTACTGTGTAACCAATATTTGCTTTTTCTTAGGAATATTTAATAGGTATTGAACTCTGTAAAACAAACCATTTAATAGCCACATTGGATCCTAGTCACTCTGTACTGAGCCTCTTCTATGTCCTCAATGTTGTGGAATGTTATATTAAAAAATTAGAGCATATTTTTCCTATAAGAGTTTATAACTTAATATTGGTATTAAACAAATATAGAAATTGGAGGCATGCATATTCTATAACTAGCTTTAATTGAAATATAAAATAAATTTAACATTTTAAAGGAAAAGTACTGTAATATTTCACAGGTGAGCAGTAATAAGTAAAACTGCTGCAGCAATTTTGTGATTTAAAAAGTGACTCACACAAAATTCACTGAATCCTCAAAAAAATCCATGATACCCTACGGGAATTCTTCCCCCATTTTATTAACAAAGAACTGGTAACCGAACCAAATTTACACAATAGTAGAGCCAAGATTCAGATTGGATTCTCGCGGCTAAATCAAGGCTGCCACTGGATTTACAATTTCACATTCTTTGATATGTGATCTCATTTGATCCTTACAATAATCTAATGAGATGATAATGGCAGCTAATGTTCGCAGAATGTACATTATGTAGCAGGAGCTGTTTCATCCTATATTAATTCATTCCTCAAAAACCAGGGAGAGGCTTTGAAATGCAAAATACATCACACGTACTATTTCTGAAGATACCTGCCATCAAAACCATCAGTACACTGGATTCGGAACTGTAGTCACAGCCCTTCATGGACTTTACATATCCTGACAATACCTTATAGTTATAAACAGGTCAAAATAGACAAAATATCAAAACAGCAGAGTAAATTAGCATTTGTTAATTACTAACCTGTTTGGCATCAAAATGATATAAAATCTAATCCTCATGGTAAAAATATGAGATAAAAATTCTATTGTCACTATCCACCACTTACTAAGCTTGACTTCTATCTATAAAAAACTTTAAGACAGAAATTACCTATAAAAATCAGATGTTTGAAATGTTTATACACTATTTTAAAAACAAGCCAAATCATATACGTATATACTTATCTAAACAGTATCGTATAATGAATGCTCTGAGAATGCACATGTTAAAGCAAAAGGAAAGATATTTTTCAACAGACTCTGAGTCTCCCAAATACGGTGTCTGTGACTAACAGCTGAGAGGAAATGCAACTGAAACTGTCTGCTGGAAATCCATTAAAATCTAGACACAGAAAAATGCAAGGGTGACAGTATAGTTGAATATACAAGTTTGTGCAAGAATGTAGCCAAATTTTTGGCAATTCCCTCATGGCCTCAGATGCACTGACAATGGTCTATTTTAGTCCTAATGTTAGATTTAAAGAACATCATCTGAGTTGGAGGACCTGCCTGGTTTTTAAAACAAATAGGCTTAAAACTTGGCTTTATAAAAGCATGGTATTTCAAATAATACAAAAATTTGCACAAAATATTATGCTTCACAAAATCTGTCAAATGCAGCAAAAAAGAAAAAATAAAAGTACATTAGAAAAAATCAGCATGTTATTTTGCATTTCATTCTGTATTTTCCTTTAAACATATTGAACTTAGTTCTGCAAAGGTAGATTTTTAGGATCATATTCTGAAAAGGAACTTTTTAAAGAATTCATATTTTAAAGCATATGCTCTTAATTCACTACTTTACAGATTACTGTGTAACCAATATTTGCTTTTTCTTAGGAATATTTAATAGGTATTGAACTCTGTAAAACAAACCATTTAATAGCCACATTGGATCCTAGTCACTCTGTACTGAGCCTCTTCTATGTCCTCAATGTTGTGGAATGTTATATTAAAAAATTAGAGCATATTTTTCCTATAAGAGTTTATAACTTAATATTGGTATTAAACAAATATAGAAATTGGAGGCATGCATATTCTATAACTAGCTTTAATTGAAATATAAAATAAATTTAACATTTTAAAGGAAAAGTACTGTAATATTTCACAGGTGAGCAGTAATAAGTAAAACTGCTGCAGCAATTTTGTGATTTAAAAAGTGACTCACACAAAATTCACTGAATCCTCAAAAAAATCCATGATACCCTACGGGAATTCTTCCCCCATTTTATTAACAAAGAACTGGTAACCGAACCAAATTTACACAATAGTAGAGCCAAGATTCAGATTGGATTCTCCCGGCTAAATCAAGGCTGCCACTGGATTTACAATTTCACATTCTTTGATATGTGATCTCATTTGATCCTTACAATAATCTAATGAGATGATAATGGCAGCTAATGTTCGCAGAATGTACATTATGTAGCAGGAGCTGTTTCATCCTATATTAATTCATTCCTCAAAAACCCTATGAAAGGGTTATATTATTACCCCATTTTACTGATTAGAAAACAGAGGCTCACAAAAATACATAAACTGCTATGATTACACAGCTTATAGGTAGGGTAATCAGAATTTAAACCCAGGGCATCTAGTTCCAGCACCAGCTTCTTTTAACACCTCACTCTTCAGCAGATTAAGAAACTTGCCCAAAGTCACAAGGAAAGAAAATTTCAGGAGAACAAGAATCATGTCTTCTAATTCCCACGCTAACTACTTTCCCTACATGTGACTGGAGTAATTAGAATCATTAAATCCAGAAGGGGCAAGGCAGCTTTGGGTGTAAATTGCTCTTTAAAGTAGAGTGTGAGCACATGAGGAACACTGGCAGCCAGAAGGAATCCCATCAGGCTAGACAAGACTTAACTTCCATAGATTGGAGGCAGAAGAAAGTAAAATAGATTGTGAGCAGACACAAGTACACTTGCCATTCTGATGTAGGGAGTATGAATTGGGGCAGATGAAGAGGTATGACTCTAAGGAAATAAGTGAAAGTGAAGCAGAAAAACGGATTCATTTTGAGAGAAAATTTGAAGTCACTGAAAGTTTTTGGACAGGTGTTGTTAATACCACCAAAAGAACAGATACCCTCACTCTTCCCAAAATGTACCTAGCACCCAGGAAGAAATCATGTAAGCACTGACAGAATTGTGCCTACATGCCTTCATTTTTTTTTTAAACTAAAATGTCACTTACAGTTCAGCAATTTTCTTTTCTCTGTTAGAAACCTGCCTAAAGAGTAGAGAAGAGGAGAAGGTGGCCATAACTAAGCATAACATGTTTCTTTTTTGTTCTCCTGCCATGACTCTATAGTACTGGTTACTTCAGCATATAGTTTTTCCCTGGAATCATGTTAAAATCAGTTGAAGGACATGACAACAAAATCCCATTCAAGTAACAAACTGAAAGCCAAGCGCAACCCAAACTACATTTTAAAAGAGGGAATTTGCAAATAGAGGGGAAAAAAAAAAATGCCTGAGACCAAACACAGCGATACCAGGATGCTAGAAAGCAGCGCTTTTTAGAAGACATATTAGACGAGGAATACTAATCCTAATGGAATATCTTTTCTCATTACTTAAAATAAACCAGGTCACTGAAATGGGCTTACACCATGGCATTTTGTTCATTTTAATTTCATTAAACCATGAATTCCCAGGGAAATATCTTAGACACGTGTTCACAATAATTGGAATGCCTAACACAACTACTTTTGCATGAGGTCAACAACAACAAAAAGAATGCAATGAGACCACTCCAAGTTTTTTGCTTATGTTAACAGCTATTTTATGAGTATGAATTATCTCTGTGGCTATAAAGCCTGTGTAAAATACATTACATGAGTCTGTGAGAAGCCTTAATGCTGAAGAAGTAAAGATCTGAACTGCACATAGAAACATCAAAGTCAAGTTGAACTTCCTAGAATATAGCAATCATAAAGTTTTCCTCCCAAAGCAATTACTGTTAAATAAACCTTCATGAATTAAGTTCAAGTGTAACTACAAGTGAAATATATGATTCAACTGAGCTGTGACCTATTCTTCCTCTCAAAAGTAGAGAATAATGACAGTTGTGAGACTTACATTTTTCCATTCCAGGGATTTTCTGAAAGTTATTTCACAATAGAGCTAAAGGCAAAATGCACTTACTGATATTAATTTGTTTTAAAATATAAGTTATTTATGCTATTGCTCATAGGACAGATAGAATTTTAATAATTTATTAAATGATTATATTTCTTTATTTTTAAACTGTACAGACCAAGAGGTATTCAGGAAGGAAATAATTATATATATGCACATACTATATCTAAGTCTACAATTTGATTATAGCTATATGATATATTAACACACAGCAGAATCACCAATCAACATGACAAACACAAGATTAACATATATATGTGGTTGAAAATACCCACCCCGAGCAGAAAGCTTTTTGGTGTTGATAATTTTGGCAGCGTATTCTTGTCCAGTAGGGATTTTCATACATCTTCTCACCACTGAGAAAGCCCCCCTGAAAACCAATAATTAGCATGAGATCAATATAATCAGCTCTGATATTCTATTAAAAATACAACAATCTGAGCATTTTTATTGAATTTAGGGCATTGTCAAGTATCAGTGCACTAGAGAAAAAATGAATTCTTGGAAATCCGGACCTCCTTCAATATTGAAAAATAGAAGTTACATTTTTATTTAACCGGGAACACACATTATTAATCAACAAAATGAAAGGAACTGCCAATTATGATGGCTCTTGTTTACACATGAAATTTGAAAACATTTTACAATTCACACACAGCACCAAATGCTCTGAGAAAAAAACTGCAAAGAGCAGAGCTGAAGAGGAGCAGCAAAAATCTGCTGTTTATCATGGTAGGAAAATAAAATTAATGTGGCTCCACAAAAGTAAATATGGCGATTAGTTTTCCTTAAAATATAAATCTTGGGTCCATTTGTGTGGTTTAAAATCCTGGTATGGAGATTTTTCTGTGTCCTGGATTGGGCTGGGGGAGGGGTGAGGAGCGATTTAAATTAAGCTGCTCTTCCGACATATTCTCCATGTTTTAACAACAGACAACATATAAATATATAAGGATGTAATTTTCATTACATTTAAAATATTTACATTTCCTTTAATTCAACTGTATAAAACAACAGCATACACATAAACGTACCCCTTTCATAAGTAATAGCCGAAACTAGTCAGAGGAACTGGGTTTGGGTTAGATGCTACATAAAGCAACATTCACAGCGCGGCCACTAGGTCCTAATGCACACAAGTTCCTCCAGTAGGTCTCCTTCCCCTTCCTTAACATCTCCAAGTTGTCCTGCCAGGTGGACGCAGGAGACCGTTGTACACAACGCTAGGCTACCCTTAGGAAGCTCTCCCCTGGTATCCAGAGGACTTTTCAGCTGCCTGTATAAATAACCCTGCCAGAGAATGTGAAGATGCCCACGTAAATTCTAGGAAGGAGGACGACGAGCGAGTAATCCAGTGCAAATAATAGTGGATGTGGGGCAGGGGGCCGGGTTCCTTTGGGTGGCCCTTTTCCTGGACAGAACAACTACTGGATGCGAAATAGACTCTACGCAAGTTGAACTTTCGGCATCAATAAATATGGCACCGTCTATGGCAGTGAGTTCTCATCCGTACGTGGGTCGTATGGCCGACATACTAGCTAAACAGGAGGCATCTCTATGTACAGAAAATACCATCTATGTTGCATTTTACATGGTTTCTTGTTTCCTCTACACACACACACTCGCACACTTCTCTGGATGACAGCTATAACTGCAAGGATCGTAAATCCACTAAGTCTCTAGGGCAGGAGGGTGGGGGAACACAGGCGCGCGCACCCCACGAACCCGCGCCGCTGCGAAACTGCGCGACAAGAGAAAGAGCGCTCGGCACGGGCGAAGCCTCGCTGGCGGTCCCCAGCCTCCGCCTCCTCCTGCGGCGTCTCCTCCCGCCGCTCCCTCCGCCCGGCAGCGCCCCCTCCCACGCTAAGCCCCCTGCTCGCCGGTCCCACACCCCCGCCTAGCGACTTCAACCCTGTCCCTTCCTGGTCTTAGATGCGCGCACACCAGTCTAGGGAGACCGGGTGGGTGGAACGTGCGGGTAGAAGACTGGAGAGGATTTAGGTGAATGAAACGAGACGTCAAAATTACCCAGTTAAACTCTCAGTCAGGTTTCTGCTTAAATCTAGGGTTTATTTAGAGCGCAGATGCGGGGTAACTCCGGATTGCTCGGGAGGCCGCTGGCCCTCTTGGCGCCCGGCAGAGACTGCTCCACGCCGGTTTCCGAGCCGCGGAGCCCGGAGTGGCAGGGCGAGCAGCGCGACCACACCTCGGCGCCGCTCCGCATCGGCAGAGCGCGGGCCGGATGTGTGCAAGAGAAGGGTCCCGGCCTCCCACAGCCCACAGCGACGGGTCGACCCAGCGGAAGCCGCGCCGCGGGCTCCGGGCGCCCAGTGCGGGTTTTCTGCCTCGTCCGCAGCCCAAGGAGCGAGGGGCGACGCCCACCGTGCGCCACGTTTCCCTTCTGGTATGACTGCCACCTCACTCCCCGCCTCCCCCGCTGATTTCTAGGTTGGGTTGCTCAGACTCCGGCAATCCCCAACGGCCTCTGCCTCGGCCATGAACGTTCACAGAAGAGAGCAAAAATACTCTGCCACCGAGACACACCTTTCCTTCAGAGTAACTCCGCCGTAACCTCTTAAATTCTGAGAGTAAGACGATTTCTCGCGAGATTTTCTGCTCGGGCAGGCGGGGGAGGGGTAGCGGGAAGGTTGGGTGTCGGTCATGCGGCCTGGTAGGAGCCTGACGTCACCCCATCACGTGAACACGTCTAGCGTGTTTCGCTTTGCAAAGGGAAAACGGAAAAGAGGTCGCCTTTGCTTTGCTGTGTGGTCAAGAGGTCTGTCCAGGTAATGGCACGTGAGTGTACTCCGAAAATGGCTATCTGAAAAGCCACTTAACGGGTCAAGAATACGTCCGACTCGTTACCATAGCTGTCATTCTTTACAGTAAATACAAGAAAAGTTATTCATTACATTTAAAACAAATTGCTGATTACTAAAACAACCCCTAGCCTTCCTTCCAGTACTCGTCTTTAATAAACTACGCTATTGCAAATGTAGAAGCAGACCAAAAGCAAAAGCGTTATAAACAATCCTTGCTAAAATATCTGCCTTTAGCTTTACAGCACAGGACCCTAAACACCTTGCAATTCTAATGCTATTTGTTCAACGTTAGCATTACGTTATGGACACAGGATTTCTCAACGCTGGATGACAAAAGATAACTTGGAGATATGAAGAATCTTAAGATTTAAAGGAGTTGCTGCTTGCTCCCAGAGACAATTACTAAATTACCTTGTCCACAGCCACACATAACCCTTATTCCCTTATTTCCTGATCCAGGGAATACTATTCTTGTCGAAAACTGAGCTTTTACCAAAGTTATCAAAAATACTCAAATTTTTAACGATTATTGTAACAAAATTAAACTTTGTACATATTTTTACTCCCATCCATAAAGAGCACATAAATTGTGTGAAATGTAATACATAAAATATTTAAAAACTATATAAAGGAATGAAGGTGTCTAAATATTAATAACTGAACCATAAAATTGCCAAAAAACCTCAATTTGGTCTGGGTTAAAGATCTTTATATATATCTTACATGTTTAGCAATATGGCCCCCAAGTTCTAATGCAATAACCTAATATTCTCTGAATCTAAAAGTGAAACAGAAAAAGTAAAATTAAAACCATAAATAAAGCTAATATAAAATTTTACAACTATGGGAAAGAAAATTGTTTTTTAAATAGTCAAGTAATGAGACTACATAATTACAGTATTTATCTCAGTTATTTAAACTACCAGTAATTGTAAATGGTTATGATAATGGTGATACAATAATGGAAATGTAACTGAATTTTAATATTGATGTATATTAGACAATGTGTACTTATTAAGCAAACACTCCTAAATCTATATTTTCACTATTCCCTAATCTGTGTCTTGGACTAATATATTCCTTTTACTGAAAAAAATATTGATAGTTATTTCTGAAGTTCGTACATCCTTAAGACAATAATCCTTCTAAAGTTATGCAGAAATTCCATTTGGAATATTATGTCTTGTCTCCTTCCTGGTCTCCTGCTTCTGCCTTTGTCCACCTTCATTCTATTCTCATCACAACAGCCAGAATGACCCCTATAAAATCTCAGTCAAAATAAATCATGCCTTTGCTCAAAACCTTCTATAGACTTCCTATCTAAATTAGACTAAAAACCAAAATTCTGAAAGTGGCTTTTATTATTCTAGGGGATGTGCATTCCACTCCTACTCCATTAGCTTTTTTAACTTAATCTGTGCCCTGCCTCATTCTACTCCAGTCACACTGGCCTCTACTCTTCCTGGAATATGACTGGCATGTTCCTGACTAGGGACTGTTCATTTGCTAGTTCCGCCTTACCAGAATGTTCATCTCTTTGTTATTGTCCTATCTTCATTTCTTCACCTACTTCCAATATTTTCTCAAATATCACTCTATCTGTGTAGCCATCCCTGGCACTTCTTTCAGACATGGTTTCTATTCCCATTCCCTACTCTATCGCCCCCAACACCTGAATACCTATTACCATTTAGTATTCCATAACTTTTTTTTTTCCTTGTTAATTGTTTATACTTCCCAACTATAATATAAATTCCCCAAGTGTATGTCTTATTATCTGTTTTGTTCGCTGCTCTTTCTAGCAACTAGAATATGTGCCTGTCACATACATAATAGCTCTCAATGAATTTTTTTGAATGGGCAAATTATTGGGTTTTTTAAGATAATCTAATCACGATATATACCAATAAAATTTCTTAATTTAAGGGTGAACATTTTCAATCAAATGGTCACAGTATTATCCCATGATTAAAAGTGCTTATGCAGAGAAATGGATTTTTAAAATACACTAATAACTGACACCAAGGGGAAAGGATCTAGTGCTAATTTTCTTGCCACTGAAGTCCATAAAGGAAGGAGGAATTTCTGTTTTTTTAGACATATTGGCCTTATTAAATTTTATGTTGTAATAAAAGATAGATGACAAAAGTTTCAAATGCTTAGATCACATTGTGAAGATACAAGTCAATGTAAGGAAATGAAAAATGTGGCTTTAAAATGAGTTTTAGAGGTACAAAATGGAAAAGAAATGTATAAACAGCGTGTTTGGCTTCTCAATTGATATTAATCACACAAAAATCAAGATTTGCCAGTGTATTGCTTCCAGCTCTTGTCTACTTTTCTAAAATGGAAGCAAAGCATGCATAATTTTATCCTCTTTTAAAATGTACCTTTTAACCCCGGAAGGCTGTAAAAGCAAAAAAAGGAGGAAGGATGAGGGGTGGGGAGGTGCGGAGGGACATGAAATGTAGTAAGCAGAGCCCTATCACTACCTAGATTGAGCAAATGAAGTCATGTTAGTGCCAAGACCAGGTAGATCTTGCTCTAAATGTACCCTATCCTTTTTTTTCTTTTTGGTGATTATCATCAACTGACAAATAGTAGCAAAGAGATTGAGACAGAGTGGAAATGATCACTACATACAAATACAACATGAGAATTGAAGATGGAAAGTAGCTTCTTTCTCCATTGGCCACTTCGAATTAAAAATTACAAGACTTCAGTAGTCCCACAAAGGGATTGTTTCTAATACTTAAGTAAACAAAGCAGATATTGACAATCATTGACTTTCCTTGCTACAAAGTTACAAGAAACAATGAAGAGAAAAATGCTATCTCCATAGCTCCCCAAAATGCAGAATAAATCAGTAATAAGTAGATTTCTGTGAAAATTTTTGCAGGGTCTGTATTATAGTCACTCTTTACTGCAGATACACTGACAAGGCAAAGAAACTTGCTCTTGTTTTTTACAGTTTGCTTGCCCAAGTTACGATAACTTAACCTTGTGGAGCCAGAGATAAATACAGTCTACTAATGAGCAGGTAATGAATCACCACACTACCCATTCATGCAAGGTGAATTTGCAGATAAAGGAATGGACTATACAGCAAAAGCTAACAACAGAAAAGATTTTCTTTGTTTCATCAGATGCTGAAAGAAGTAAATTTTTTTCCTATATGTAATTGAACAAGGAAATAAGTGATACCACATAATGAAAAAGCACCTCTCTTACTATTACTTCCAAATATTATTAGCACATTATTCTTCACGAACATGCTTGCATACCTAACACTCTGCTAAAAGGACTGTAGCAGAAAATTACATGAAACATGATGTAGAAATCAAAACAAGTGTTTAAGAGGTAGTGGGGTCATTAATAAAGTAGAGAAAATGGATTAGCAAATAATGAGTCTCCCTGTGGGCACCAGTAATGACTTTCACTGACCACTGTTGCAATCCATCCCACTGGACCATAATCAGGCTATTGGCCACTTCATGGGAGGAACTGTCATTCAGTCCCCTACCTGGGCTCTAGCACAGGACTTGTACCAAAATAGGTGCTCAAAATACCTTTTATTATCTTTAAAAAAATGAATATATGTTATCACTAGTCTTTGTCTTTCAAAATATTAAAAATGCCCAGTTTTCATCAGGGTGCAATGAAGCCTCTTTGCTGTTATACATAATGGATCCTTAAATAATTTGACTTGTCTGTGTTGTCTCATACTCTTGACCCTGAATTTTCTCTGCTGGTTTCATGTGTGAACCACATTCTCCATTCACAGCCCCAGTGCCACCTACAAACATTTCTGTCTCCTCTTCTCTTCAGACTCCTTCCTGGGCTCTTCTGTTTTTCCTCCAACCTTCATGGTAAAAGGTTTGCTCTCAGGATTCCATCTTATGCTATCGTTTTTCTTATTTTACATGCCTTTTCTGGGTCAGTACCTTAATAACTCTCATAATCTTGATTATTGTCTGTCTTAAATTTGGCTCTCCAGATGGAGATCCTCAGACAAGGGTGTCTGGACAAGGGATTTACTGAGGCAGAGCTCTCAGGGAGAAGGGTAAAGAAGTGAAGGAAGCAGGACAAAAGCAAAATAAAAACAAGAAACAGTGTGTGCCTCCAGGTGGAGTCCTGGCCTCAAGCCTGATCTGCATACGGCTCTGGCGCAGAAATTACAAGCCTATGTTCCCCCTCACAGGCAGGGACTTCCATCCCTTTACCGGTCAGACCTAGACCACCAGCCATAGAGGAGGGAAGGAGAAAGGAAGAATCTCCCAAGGGGTTACATAGGCCCCCCTTCCTTGCAGGATTTAGAGACTGGGGAGGGGAACAAGACTCAGGTGGATATCAAAATGCTAATGACTGAAATCTTATCTTTGGTCTCTCCCTGAGCCTCTCTCCTCTCAGATATTCTGCCTCTACCTCTGATTCAACTTGTCAAAAATTAACCTCCTGCATTCCCTCTCGACCTGCACCTTCTCCACATCTTGGTGAAATGTGAGGGTCACCTATTACAGTCCCTGTCCCTCATTCTCACAGTTAACCACAAGTGCATACACCACATCCCATTTCCACTACAAATGCCTTCCTTTAGGTCACCACTTTTCCTTACTGGGTTAAAGCATTAAGTCACCCTTCTATAGTGAATTCACACTGCCCTGGCATAGATATCATTATTAGCTCATCATATATTTTTAGAAAAAAGGTCCAAAATCTGTATGCCCTACCAGGCATGTTCTGGTCTCAGTTCTGCATAATTTCACAGATTCATCTCTCTTGTCCCCACCCCATACCATGAC